TTTTGATATGATTAATCGACTGCTTTCAGGGCAACACTGCATCTTGTATTTATAACATAGTAGCCTGACTGTTTTGCCTTATGATGTGTAAATTGGCTTGATCTTTTAAATTCATGAAGTTTGATAATGTTGCATGGCATGTTTTAATGATAAAAATAAATTGTCCTCAAAGAGGCCCTGGCGGAACCTGTCTAAGATAAACCTGTGGATAGATAAAAACGCTTGTCTCAAAACTAAAACTATATATTTTTTTTTGTAATCGTTTCTAACACTTGGCTCTTGAAACATGCCATCCACAGTTAATGATTCACAGATTTTTGAAAAATCAATTAAATTATAAAAATCCGAACGGTAACCGAAATGATTGAAATTCAAGACCACCGCACGCTATGTCTGAAGGCACTTTTTTTGCAACATTCATGTACCTCAGATTTTCCTTGACAGGATGTTAGTATTGATTCTAACAATCAAATCTGTGATGGTTTTAAAATATTTCATCTTGGGTTTTTTGAGAAAAAGTGTGTTGATGTTTACAAAGCCGATTATGAAGGCATATATGGACTATTGACGATACAAAATTATTACGAATTGAACAAATGCAGTTAAACAAGGTTCAAATGATGATTGCATTAATCTAAATGGCATTAAAGAGTTCTCTTTGACTCTCACGTAAGATCCGTATTGATTATGTCGACTGTGACCAAAATCAATTAATATTTTTTGCTAGAACAACTTCTTAATTAATTTCTCTTCCCTCATAAGAATAAAAAAGAAAGAAACGAGCAGGACAGTCTGAGGCAGCTACGTAATCGTAGTAGGCATTGATTTTCGTCCTGTTTCGAGTGTTTTTGTTTTTATTTAAGGTATCGTGTAGAAAATCTGGAAAAAAAAATTTAAAAAAAATTGCATGAAGAAAATAGAGAGTTCGCTTGTTGTGCTTCGAAAAAGCGACTCTGTAAAAAAAATCAAGCCACTTTAGTAGCGACGATCGTTGAAAGTTTTTACTGGAGTTCAATAAAGGAGATAGTGAGTATCAGAAAGTTTTGTGTCCCGTACTCAGCAGGTAGTGAAGTTAAATTTGCTTGGATTTAAAAAAAAATAAATATATATGTTTGACTTAATGGCGAGATCGAAAATAAATTCTGGCAACCATGACGAATTGGTTTGAAAATCGTCTTTCCTATAATACAGAAATCAAACTCACATGAGGTTAGCTACGTTTGCCCAGTGAGTTCAGGTAGTACTAACCTTGAATTACTACAGAATTGCTAGAGCTTCATTGCAATTCCCATATTTTGAATAAGGAAACATTCAGGAAGGTACAGCGACTTTCTAGGAAATTCTGCGAACTATAGGGAACTATAGTGAATTTTAGGAAAGTTCGGCAAACTTTAAATAAGTTCCTCCAAAGAAGCAGAGAAATTCAATAACTTTCAGAGAAGTTCATTAAACTTCAGGAAGGACTTCAGGAAAATTCTTCAAACTTTAAGGGTGTGCTTCGCTCTCCAGATCTGCCAACTTCAGGGACATTTTGTGAGCTTCAGAGGAGTTGAATGTCCTCCTGGTAAGTTCTACGAACTTCAAGAGAGTTCTGTGAACTATAGAAACATTATATGAATTTCAATGATGTTCTGCAAACAGTTCTTTAAACGTGAGGAAATTTTTGCAATCTTTAGGATGGTCTGTGAACCACAGGGAAAATTTAATAATATTAGGAAAGTACTATGAATTTTTTTAAATATCTGAGAATTTCAGGAAAAAAAATCGAGAACATCAAAGAAAATCATGAAAGTTTGAAGAATTTCATTGAAGTTCACCGAAATCAAGGAAAAACTTATGAACAGGGATTTGAATTTGAATGTAACTTCTATAAGCTGTATCATCGGGTCGTTCGTGGAACAACTCCAACTCCATGTCTTAGAAAACAGGTAAAATAGTGAGAATTGGTTGCGATATCTCTTTCTATTTTACGCTTCCTTTATGACATGCACAGTTCAAAAAAGTAGTGTAAATTTCTATTCAGTATGATGCACATAAATGGAGCGTCACATATCATATAACTTTACATTATATATCATGTAAAGTTATGAGACATTTCATGCAATGAAGCAAATATTGTATTCAAAAGCCCATATTTGTAAACAACATTGTTTACAAGTTGCTCGGTTGCGTGAAATGAAATACAAGTTTACGTGAACGAATGTTTACATCACTATTAAAATTCAGAATTTTTATCTGTGTGTGATCGAGGGCATGAGCAGGGTGAAAGGGCGTAAAAATGAGAGTTTATCAACTAAAAAAATCGTGAGTACGGTTCAAGTATTTTATATTGCCGTTTACCGGTATAAAAAAGGGAGCAGTTTATGAAAATTGAGGTTCACAAATATCCAGAAGAAAGAAAGATGTTAACAAGAAGTTCAAACCAAACTTGACAGTCAAAGTTGTGCGGGTGTGTAGATATTTGTAAGAAAAAAACATCACAGAAAAAAAGGAATTCATAAAAAATTTCAAATTATGTCGGACGCAGGTTTCTCCTGAGAAACGTCATGCATATAGTGAACACCGGAACTTCAGAATCTCTCCAGTCTCTCCAATCTGCAATCCTGCAAACGTAGCAGGAAGACTAATGGGTTTAAATTTGAAACAGTCAGGAAAAAAATCTAAGATTTCTCACGAAGATTTACTCAGCTTTAAGAAAGATCTTAATCTGAGTGTTAAGGGGAAGCTCACCGGCCCAAAAATAAAAAAAATATTTTCGGTACGTTTTTATTTTTCTAAAAATATTGGGAAAAATTATCAAAAATCCAAGAAAATCAGTTTCTTCCTTAGATTTTTGTCAAAAATTAAATGCAAAAAAAAATTTTCTATCCCATCATGAAAAAAAATTGGACTCTCAGAAAAACCGAAAAGTTGATGTTTTGTGGTTTTTTGAGTCCAACTTTATGCCATAATGACTTATAAAACATGTTTTTGCACGTGAATTTTCTTTAAAAATGTGATTTTTTTTAGATTTTTGATACTTTTTTTCAATATTTTTAGAAAAATCAAAACGTAATTATTTTTTTCGAAGCGGTGAACTTCCCCTTAATAAGGTTAGTATGTAACAGTTATCTTTATAACTTTATATTTTACATGACTTTAAACTATACTCTTGTTATATTTCAGACGCTAAAATTGGCTAAATATATGAGACTTACCGGCCGTCAAACTATCCAGCCCGGCCTCAAATCAGCTATGAGGAAAGACAACGCGACCAAGAATGATCCCAATAACGCAATATGGTGGCTGCCGCAAATGCGACTCAGCATACGCAATTTGGATTCGCTGGTCGCCATTGTAGGTGCTTGATAAACGCCATTGCCTGATTGATAATCGTGCAGTTTTTGAAGGATAAAATTTTAATCATCAGCTAATGAAAAACAGCACATCGCTGATTTTTTGATATGTTGTGTAAAAAAGCCTAAATTTTTTAAGAAAAATATAAAAACACCCTCTATCTACAAACCATGAAAATCATAATAAACGAAAACAATCAATGTTTTCAAATATAAAATCCCTATTTTTTAATATCATTATATTGCATCATTACAAGTACTTTTAATAACCTTTTATTTGATATTTTGATCTTTGAATTGGCCCTGTTTTTCAAAAGTTATAAATTTTTGGAAAAAGTCATTTTTGAAAAAAAAAAAAATAAACGATTTTTTAGACTACCCTAACGTTGAAATAGTCACCCTAATGACAAAATAAAAAACTAAAAGGATCAAAACTACCATTTCCTACCAAATTCTGAGAACCACTGTATCGTTTTGCAATGGAATGGCTCAATAATAGTAAAATTAGAGACTAAACCATTGTTTAATTATTTTATTAATTTAAACATTCTGACATTGTTACGATATCTGACGGTACCGAAGAGCGAATCTTACTGTATCATTGAAACTTAGTGTTTTGACAACTGTAATCCCCTTTTGAATCATTTTCAGCTGAATTTGTTTCGATCCGTAACAGTTTTGTATAATCAATAGTCCGTATACGCCTTTGTTAACAGCTAAGTAAACTTCAAAACACTTTTTCTCAAAAAACCCAAGATGAAATATTTTAAAACATTCGCAGATTTGATTGTTTGGATCAATACTAACTTTCTGTGAAGATAAAACTGAGGTACATGAATGTTGCAAAAAAAGTGCCTTCAGACATAGCGTGCACCGACAAGACGCAATATCGATATTTGCAAAAAACAATGCTATTTAATCGGGAGTTGATAATGATGGAACGATTCACAAACATGGAAGACTCAGAATCCATAGTTTCAAATGATTCATTTTCAATTGAATGATTTAATTCAAACTCATCTGTGAGATAACCATGTGGCACTTTGGTGAAAGGTGGCCGAGTCACATTTCAGATCAGACGGCTGATCGAAACAGCCTTTCTTATTCGAGCAGAACGGCTCCAGCCATCAAATTTTCCTTTCAAACAAACTGTGAACCTCCGCGGTAGTGGATTAGCATTGAATTCACCGAACTGGCGAGCACAGCTGCTGCTGCCGAACCGAACCCATATAGCTGAAGATTCAGGTAAATTTTCGATTTCTCCTTGAACACAGCCATTCAACGGCGGCAGCAGTGGCCCACATAATGGACGTTTTGACCGTACATTGGCTCATCTCTCAGAGTCACTTCCTGATCGATTATTGAAGGTTCTGTTTCAAATAATAATCTGCTGTAATCGTACGGTTCTTGGCACCTTATGTTCACCGATTGCACTCATTACACTCTGAACACGAACAAACAACAATAACAACAAGGCCGATGACGAATGCAAAAAGCAACTACTCTTTTGACGTGTTCAGTGTAACACACCGATCAAAGTAGGTCAACGACTTCACTGGGTTTGGAGGTTCTTCGCTAACCGATTTATCTAAACATGGGTTTCCCTTGCTTTACGTTCTAGATTTATCGGAAGATTTTAACAAATTTGTAGCGTGGAAAAAGTACCTTGAACTTCAGTCGAACAGCATCCAACAGGTGTGTGCCACAAGTCTTCTGTGAAATCTGTTTCCTTCTCTATATGGCGATCGTGATGTCTTTGTTGTTGTTGCTCTTGGTTGGTATGGCGACGATCGCTTGCGGTCCCAACCATCGGTTGTTGGTCGGATTGCTCGCTACTGACTGACTGACTGACTGACTGAATGGTGGAAGGGTTCGTACCAACAGCGTCAGTGAATGCAGCAACATCGGCGGGTTTGGCTGTGAGCTTTGTGTTTACATTGCACACATAAACAACAGTGTAAAACCGGTTTCCGTGTGGTGGTTTGGTTTCGGTTTCGGTTATTTGAGGCACTAATATTGGTGAAACTCGGTTGTAAACAAACCGAACGCGCTTCTAAAGGTGCACCATGCACGGTATTGGTGGACTGGAATTCTAAAATATGTTCATTATATTGAAATTTTAATTAAGAAAGCTTTCCGAAAAAAAAACACCTGAATCACTCAATTATCGTATACAATTACAAAACCGAGAACAAAACGAAACATTGAAACAAAGAGTACCTAACTGTCATTTTGATTAACTGGAGTCGGTACAGCAGAGCTGCCAGGTGGTTTTATAAAAAATCTGTATCCACTCTATTAAAAAATCTGTATTTTCTGTATTGACGATTTTTTTCTTAATTAATCATGTTTTGTTGTTTTACAAATACAGTGCATACAAAATAACCATAAAAAGTGCTTAACCACCTATTCGGGCTATCGTACTAACCATACGGGATGTAATTGCGCCATTTGTGATATCGTCCGTACTTATTTATAAGAGTGATATCAGTGCTAACATTTGAAAACGGCGCAAAAGCCATTTGTAAACAAATGGTTTGTGGGCCCTTTACTCGCTACCCGAAGAACGCCCACGCAAACCAACAGCATCGTCAGGAAGGGGAAAATTTCCCCTACCCGATGTTGCTGTTGTGTCGCGTGGGTGTACTTCAAGTAGTGAGTAAAGGGCCCACAAACCATTTGTTTACAAATGGCTTTTGTGCCGTTTTCAAATGTTAGCACTGAATTATGAAGCCGTTTGAAAATGTATGGAGATTTTAGTTTCTATTCATTATCTTCCTGATAAGCAGTTTTAAATGCAAAAAAGTGCACGAGTTCATTACTATTTGATATTTTTAATATACTACCGTGACGGGCGTGACTGCGTTTTCCGTTGGAGGGAGTGAGAGAAGCATAAAAGAAACAGCAACGCCTCGAGCAGATCCCACTGCAAAAAATATGGTTTTTAGCACAACAATTAATTTTGGAGAGAAGTTATTTTGTTTTTATAAATTTTGAATTTTTTTTTCTCAACCATTTTATAAAAATCTGTATAAATCTGTATTGTAATTTAAAAATCTGTGATAAATCTGTATTCTGTATCGGGTCTGTATTAAGATTAAAAAATCTGTATAATACAGATAAATCTGTATAAATGGCAGCGCTGCGGTACAGTAGATCCATCACAGTCGACATTCAAGCAGGCTTTGACAGAATTAGATGTTTGTGTACAGGTGTTAGTGTAGTGGTAAGTTCATAGAATACGTCATGGTTCAGAGAAAACTACGTTTGGAGTAAAAATTCTACTTCTCTAATTTTTTTTCGAAAATCAAAAAGAATTTGAAAAATTTCCCATTTATGACAAACTTATCGTATTTTAAAGCCGAACCCAATCCAAATTGATTGTCACTTTTGACAGACCACTACTCAAGCTTCCCTGTTCCCTGCTTCTGTCTGCAGTGTTTTGATTTCGATACACATTTTCGTGTTCAGTGATGTGTTAAATCAAATCGGCAAGTACAGTGCAGGTAGGAAGGTAGGTAGGTACCTACAAGTTCATTTCATTGCGTGACCATTCATTCAGTAGCCGCTGCCGTAGGCGTTGGGATACCGAAAGTGGCATAAATTACATCAACCGGATTGGTCTTTCCCTTTCCCTTGAGAACTGATACATTTTCCGATAGTCTTCACGGTGTAGGCAGTGTGTCGTTTTCGCAGTAATGTGATTAATCCGAACTTTCATCGATTTGTACCGCCGCAAACTCTCCATTCGGGTTGTGTGACTTCTGCCGAATGCCATCTATCAAACTGGTGAGTAGTTGGACAAGTTTTCTCCAAATTTAGTTGCAAAACACCTTCTGTTTGATGGAATTTCTTAAATTTCATCAACTATCCATTACGCATGATTCTTCATACAGAAGTTCCTCATTTTCAGTGATTGGTTTTGTTTGTTTTTCGTCGCATTTGCGTGAGTCATATTCGGTGCAACGAGGGCACTGCTCGCCGTAGGTAAATAAAATCCACACCGCTCTGTTGCTTCGAATACGAAGAAGAAGCAAAGACAGTCACACGGCAAAATTGTCAACAGCCAACCTGCAACGATGACGAGCGGAATTTCGGCCGTATTCTGGCGATTCTTTCACTGGGGACCGCTGACGGCGATAAGTGAGTATGAAAATAATGTTCTAGAAATTATTTTTTTTTCAGTGTAGCATATCTTACTGTATTGCATAAAATGTGGCGGTCACTTTGATTGATTATTTCCAACCCAGGCAGAAGAAATTTTTGTAAATCATCCATGAATTTACCTTTCACAATCCACAAATTTCAGGAAATGTCATCATGTAAAATTTCATCCGGAACACATTTCGGAAAATTAATGTGTTTGCTCTATCCACTTCCGCCAGCAGGGGCGCAGCTTGGGAAATATTTACCTCCCAGGTATACGTTATCTCGGATATTTAATCGCAATCACACTAACACTCAAGCCACTTCGTGTCGTGAGCATTTATGTTAATCAATCTACTTCCACCGGAATTGCTGTGGTTGCACCCTCTCGAACTTTTGTGTCATTAGGCTGCTCGGAAAAATCCCACCATAATTTCAAAACACTACAGGAGGTGGAAACACCCTCATCCCTAGAGTTCCAAACTAAACAAGCCACCCTGCTTCTGTTGTGACCATGGGATGGAACATAGCTTTGCATGGCTGATGATAATTACAAACAAGCCCGTTCGGTCAACTTTCTAATGACATTCGGGCAATGCGATATGACTAAATAAGGTGAGCCTCTCTTCTCCCCCGAACAGCTCGATTTCAGTAACGGCAGACTTAAGAATGGTCAAATTTGAGCGGCTTTTAATTGCAAGCGGTTAACAATTCTCGAATGATTTTAAAAGCTCGATAAAATCATCCTGAATTTAAAAATTCCATCTAAGGATTTCTAGTAAGCGTTCTGTAATTCTTAGAACTACAAATGGCAGTCACAATAACCTGCAGAATCCCGATCGAAACTTATTAGAATCCCCGTCCGTAAATCTTAAGAATTCCCGTCCCGATATTCATCGTAATACCCTTTTCAAGTTTCACCAGAATGTCTGTCCAGGAAGCATCAGAATTCCCGTCACCACCTTTTCCAGCTATCAAGAATTCAATAGAATTCCCAGCTGGGATGCATCACATTCCTCGTTCAAGATTTAACAGAGTCTGTCCTTCAGAACAGATTCGTCAGGATCTTTCACTGTGGTTCATAAAAATTACTAAACATGATTCATCCGAATACTTTACCATTATTTATCAGAATCCTCATTCGTGGGTCACCAAAATCATCGTCAAGAATTCATTTGATCTCTGTACAAGATTCATCAGAATCGCCGTCTTGGATTTGCCAGAATCACCATCTGAATTCACCGTCCATGATTCATCCAAATCCCTGTCCAAGATTTAACAAAATTTGCTATGCATTTTTCAGAATCGCCCTGAATTTCCATACAGGAATTCATCAGAAACTCTGTTTGGAATTTGTCAGAATCCCTGACCGGGATTCATAAAAACATACTGACCAAGATTCAGTAAATATTTCTATTCTTCATTAGGATTCCCGTCCGGAATTCTTCAGAATCACCGAATCCCCATTCAAGATTTATCAGAATTCCTGATTACATCATCCCAAGATTTATAACAAATCCTGCCTAAGTTCATCATAATCTTCGTCTGAAATTCACAAGAATCTCTGTCCGAAAATTCAACAGAAACCCCTCGCGGGATTCATCCGCATCTTCGTAAGGGGTGGTTCATAACCTATGTAGACCGTTTTTGAGAGATTTTTACACCTCTCCCCCATGTAGACAATTGTCCATACAATTTGATCAGAATCTTTTTCCAGAATTCATTAGAATCTCCCTCAAGAATTCATCAGAATTTCCTCCCGGAATTCATCAAATCGTCGGCATTCATCGAATTGATAAGAATCTCTGACCGGGATCCACAGGGGCATTGCGATTTATCAGGACTACCGTTCAAGATTCACAAAATTTCCGTTCAAGATTCATCAAAATCTCTGTTCAGGATTCATCAAAAACCCATTTTCATCAGTAAAAGGGCCTTAATCGAATACAAAAAAAAATCGTCTGAATTCAGCAATTCATCAGCAACTCCATTCAAAATAAATCAGCATTCCCGTTCAGGTTTAATCAGAATACCCGTCCAATATTCATCAGAATCTCCGTTCACGATTCGTCGTAATCATCTGGCAGGGTTTCTCAGAATCACTATCCAAAATTTATCATAATCCCAATCGAAGATTAATACAAATTTCCGTCTACGATTCAACAGAATTTCCATTAATGATTCATTCTTATTACCGATAAGGAGGCATCTGAACTGTCCGGAATGCTTCACAATCTATTACAGGGATTCTTAAAAATTACCGTTGAAGATTCAGATTCAATCTCCATCCAAGGTTCATAAGGATCCCAGGTCTAGGATCCATCAGAATTTATGTCCGGAATTTTGACAGAATCTTCATCAAGAGTTCTTTAGACCGTCCAGGGAATCTTAAACCATGTCAGAATTCTTATCCCTAATTCACCAAAATCAAAATGTAAGATGCATCAGAATTCTGGTCTGGATTTCATCAAAATCAAAGTCTGAAATTCACCAGAATTTCCGCCCGAGATTAATCAGAATACTCTTTCGAAATTCATGCAATTCCCTTTCGGAACTCTATAGAATCGCCGAACTCGATACATTAGAATTCTCCTCCTAAATTCATCACAATTACCGTCCTAGAGTCGATTAAAAACCCGTCCAAGATGCATCAAAATACCTGTCCAGTATTCATTTGAATCCCACTCGGGAACATATCAAAATCCCTCTCTTGGCATCTTCAAAATTCCAGTGTGCGATTGATCAGAATATCCGTCCAGGATTTATCAGAATACCCGTCCAAGGTTCACCAGAATTTCCGCTCATTATTCTTCAGAATCTCCTTCCAGAATTCATAAAATTCATCGTATGAATATCATAACTCCGTCCTTGAATCAGCAGAATTCCCATCTAGGTTCTATCAGAATCTCAATCATATTCCAGGGTTCCTCAGAATTACCGTCCAGAGTTCATCAGAAACCCCATCCTAGATTCATCAGAATTCCCATCTAGGATTCATCAGAATTTCCGTTCGGGATTCATCAACCTAATAAAAAAATTCCATAAAACGAACAGTAACCCGGATGGTAGAACTATCACGCAAATAATTTGGATGATACCCCGAACGTCGCTAAGCTCTTCTTCATGGTTATTTTTATTAGTGTAGTATCATCAATTAGGATTCATTTGAAAACCTGTCTTAGATATTTCAAAATCTTCTACCACGATTTGTAAAAATACCTGTTTAAGATTCAGTACAAATCTCCAGTCAAGATTTATAAGGATCTCAGGTCCAGAATTCATCAGAATCATCGCTCAATTGAATGTTAATCCAAGGTTTGTCAGAATCCTCAAATGTATCCCATAAAAATGTCCACCGCAATCCATCCGAATCTTTGTTGGATTTCAGGCAAGCCAATTAGTTACAATCCCTGACCAGGATTAATTAGAATTTCCTTGCTGGATTCATCAGAATATCCGTCCTAGATTCGTTAAAATCCCCATCCAATATGCATCACAATCCCACTCCGGAATCCATCAGAATCCCTCTCTGGGATTCTTCAAATTTCGGTCTGAGATTGATCGGAATCTCCGTCCAAGATTCATCAGAATATCCGTCCAAGATTGACCATAATTCCCGTCCAGGATTCTTCAGAATCTCCCTTCCTAATTCACGAAAAACATCGTACTAATTTCATCCGAATACTCGTCAACGGTTCATCAGAATCTCAGTTCATGAAAAATTAGAAATTTGGCCAATAATTCATCAGAATCTCCATCCGAACTTCATCAGAAAACCTGCATTGAAACTCCCACCAAAAAATCCCACAACGATTCAGTAAAAAACTCAAACCAAGATTCATCAGAAATCCTGCAACTCATAAGAATCATTGATCAGAGTTCTTCATATTTACCGTCCAGGCTTCATCAGAATACTCATGCAAGACATAAGAATTCCGATCCAAGATTTGTCAGAATTCCTGTCCAAAATTCACCAGAAGCTCCACCAAAGATTAATTAAATTCTCGTTTAAGATTCATCAGAATCCCCGTCTGAAATTCATCAGAATCCCCATCCATAAATCATCAGAATTGCCATCCAGCATGCAGGAAAACCTCCGTTTAGGATTAATCAGAATCACTGTCCAAGATTCATCTGCACCCCCATCCGAAAATGGTCAGAATTCTTCTCCGGAATTAATCAAAATCCTTCTCTGGGACTCATTAAAATCCCCGAGAATTCGGAATTATCATCCTAGATCCATCATAATCTCCGACCAAGATTCATCATAATTTCCGTCCAGGAATTTAAAGAATCTCCGATCAGGATTCATCTGAATTCCCGTCCAAGATTATCCAGAATCTCCCTTCATCGTACGATTTTCATCCGAATCCCCGTCAAATGAACATCAGAAGCTCAGTCCATGATTTATAGAATTGCCACCGTTAATTGATCAGAAAACCTGTCCTGAATACATTGGAACCCTCGTATAGAATTCTTGAAAAAAAAACACCAAGATTTAGTAAATATCTCCAAACAAGATCATAAATCCTGAAATCATCAGAATAATTGATAAGTGTTCTTCAGATTCACTGTCCAGGGTGCATCAGAATACTTATCTATGATTTGCCAGAATTCATGTGATTGGCATCCAGCATGCACCAAAACCTCTGTTTAGGGATGATCAGAATTCCTGCCCAAGATTCTGGATATGATCAGAGTCCCTCTCCGGAATTCATCAAAATCCTTCTCTGGGATTCATCAGAATCCCCGGGAAATCGGAATTACCATCCCAAATTAATCATAATCTCAGGCAAAGATTAATCAGAATTCCCGTCCAGCAATTTTAAGATTCACCGATCAGGATTCATCAGAATCCTCCTTCAGAGTTCTTGGGGCTCATTGCCCAGGGTTCTTTAGGATCCCCATTCATGATTCATCAGAATCCTCGCCTGAGATTCATTAGAATAACCGATCGAAGATTCATGGACGTTCCGTTCCAAGATGCATCAGATCTACCGTTAATAATTTGCCAAAATTCCCATTCGAAAATGACCAGAATCCCTCCCCAGAATTCATCAAAATCCCGGGATTCATCAGAATTACCATCCTAGATTCACCAAAAACTCCGTCCATGATTCATCAGCGTTTTCGTACAGGAATTTTCAGAATCTTTTTCCAGGATTCATCAGGACCATCGATCAAGGTTCCCTCTCTAGGATTCAACAAAGTTGCTGGGAAAGATTATTTAGAGTCCCGCACAAGATTCATCAGAATAACCGTTAAATATTCGCTAAAATATCCGTCTGGAATTGATGAGAACCTCTGTTTAAGATCAATAAATATTCAGTGCTGGAATTTCACAGATTTTCTCTCTGAATTTGTTGAAAGTCTTAATCTTCAATTTGTCCCCCAGAGTTTATCAAAATTATCGTCCTAGATTCATCGAAATACCCGTCCAAGGATTCATGAGAATTCCTGTCCAAGGAATCATCAGAATCCCTGGATTAATCAGAATCCTCTTTCAAGGTTCTGCAAAAACATCGTCAAAGGTTCATCAGAGTCTTCATTATTATTATTTTATTATGATTTATTAGAATCCTGATCCAAAATTTATTAGGATCGTCGATTCGGTTAGATCAGAAGCTCTCCCAAGGATTCAATAAATTTCTGTCGAAGATTCATTTTCCAAAATACTCGAGCAGAATGGATCAGAATCTGTGTACAAGAATCATAAATGTCCCCATCCAGAATTGATCAGAATTCTTCTCCGGAATTAATCAAAAATCCTGTCAGGGATTCGTTATAATTACCGTTCATTTTTCATCAGACGCTGGATTTTGATTGAAAAGGATTAAGGGCCACCCACTTTAAATCAGTTTGCGTTGCGTTGACGTATGACAGTTAGACAATAGATTTAGCTGTCATTTTGCCGCAACGCGTCCGATCCGGATCTAATGTGCGTGGGCCTTAAGAATTCCCACCTTAGATTCATCTAAATCTCGTCCATGTTTTATCAGAAACTTCGTCCGGGATTCATCAGAATCTATGTCCAGCATTTATCAGAGCGCCTGTATGGGATTTATCAAAACCCCGTCCAAGATTTATCAAAATACCCACACTAGATTAATTAGCATTCACGATCAGGATTAATTACAATTGCGAGGTTCGTCAGAATCTCCGTTCAGGATTCATCAGAATCCCATTCCATGATTCATATCAACCCTAGTCTGACATCCATTAGAATCCCTGCCCCGGAGTCATCAGAATCATCGTCTAGGACTCATCCGACTCCACGTCTGGACATCATCAGATTCTTTGTCCGAGATCCTCCAGAATTCTCGTAAAGGAATCCTCAACATCCCCCTTTAAGATTTTTCAGATTTTTCCTCCAGAATTCATCAAAATCCATGCCCAAAAGATTCATCAATTTCAACCCATAATCACTGCATTCTCCTTCTCTCGCGCAGCCATCATCAAATCGATCACCTTCATGACCCTGTACATGAATGCCATGTGGTGGCCACCGAACCGAACCTTCGGTGGTTTCGTCAACCAAGCCGTCTTCCTCATCCTGTCCGCTAGTACCGGGTTCAACTTCGTGATGGCATCCCTTACCGGGCCCAAGTTCCTGCCGCTGCGGTGGCGCCCGAAGAATCCGGAAGAAGAACAGTTCCTCCAGTACTGCACTGGGTGCGAGGGCTTCAAGGCACCCCGATCGCACCACTGCCGGAAGTGCGATCGCTGTGTGATCAAGATGGATCATCACTGCCCGTGGATCAACCATTGCGTCGGTTGGGGCAACCATGCGTACTTCACGTGCTTCCTGGCGTTCGCCGTGGTGGGATGTATCCACGCGACGGTCATTCTGTGTGCGGCGTTATACGCTGGACTGCACCGGGATTGGTACGTGTACTACGGGCAGTATTCGAAGGCGACTGTGTACTTGGGACTGTGGAGCCTAATCCTGGGGGTGTTCAACGTGGGCCTGGCAATCGGAGTGATCATAGCGGTCGGGATGCTGCTGTTCTTCCAGGTACGGGCGATTGTGAACAATAGAACCGGAATCGAGGATTGGATTCTGGAGAAGGCACGGCATTTGCGGGAAGGGACTGAGGATCACTTTCAGTATCCGTACGATTTGGGCAAGTGGAGAAACATTAAACAGGTCGCCAGCTGGACGTGTTCACCGATTGGCAATGGCACAGAGTGGGCGATCGCGGAAGGTTGCGATCAATTTACGTTGACGGTGAGTTTCTTCGGAGGCTTTGGGGATCTTTCCATGCTAAATTGTATTTTTTTGCTTTTGCAGCGTGAACAACTACTGCAGAAATCGGCGAAACGGGCCAGGACGCGTACCTACACCATTCTACGACCGGTTTCTGGCAGTTGGGTTCCACTGTGGTCTCAGGGATGCAGAGTATGTCTTAGTCCACCGTTGACGGATGAGTCGCGAATCAAGCTTGAAGTTGGGGACAAAGTTCGAGTGACACGATGGCGGAAGTACGTTAACTTTTAAAACATTGCGTTGATTGACTTCACACTAGTAATCTTTTCCGTTTTTAAAGACACTGGCTGTTCGGAGAGAAGATTTTCGAGGAGTTGGAGCAACCGAAAAACGAAACCAAGAAGGACAAGAAGAGGAAGCAACAACAACAACAGTCTGAACCATTACCGGAAACGCACAAGCCACCCCGGATACGGGGTTGGTTCCCGCGGCAATGTGCCGTCGAACTAGTCGAAGATGAAGACGACGCCGAGCAGCAACAGCACTTTACCGAGAAGAAGAAGAACAAGTAAATTATAGCTATTGACATTAGGGCTTTTAGCATACTTTTACGTGTCATTTGACTTGCTGGTCCGTGGTGGGAGAAGGACGAACATTTTTAATTAAAAAAAAAAAGTATTTTTGGTGTAGCAATTAGATGCGAAGCTCTTGCTGCTGTTATTATTTTACGATAACAGAAATAAATGTGTAGCTACTGTTTTAATGGCTTGAAACTTTATTTGCTTGCATATTGTAACTTTCGTTTTATTATTTGAAATCAAATTCAATACAAATCCGGCATCATTTGTCATATCCCACGCTTCGCCAACTTTGATGACATTGTTGTTCCAACTCCCTGAACTTATCACGTTACTTCTTCCCCTCCGGCACGGCCTTGCTCAGCCACGTCAGGTACGCCGGATTCCCGTTTTCAATCGGCACCGAGACAATTTCTGCCACACTGTACGGATGATTCTCCCGTACAAACTCGCACAGCTCATCCACCCTCGAGCTGCGCGTTTTGATCATCATCAGTATCTCCTGGTGTTCCTTGATCTTGCCTTCCCACTCGTAGATGGCGACCATTCCGGGAACAATGTTCACGCCAGCGGCCAGCTTGCGCTCAATCATCTTCCTAGACAGTTCCAAGGCGGAGCTTTCGTTTGGGGTGGTCACGTAAGTGATCGAATGCAAGCCCGGTTTGTACTTTTGCATCGGACTAAACGGCATTGGTCTGGGAGAGGTGTCTGAATGAAGGAATTTGATGATGGTTTATCGGAACGTTAGAGTTACCTTCTATCAATCACACTGATGTATGGAATTAGTATCGTAGATCGAAACAGGATATTTCCCTTGCTCTTAATTATTGACTAGACTACAGTCTTCCCCGTATAGTTTGATTCCGAATTTGTTAGATCACATTAACGGACCCAATATTTGTAATTAATTTTCGAACAAGATGTTTTAGTTCGATCAATTAAGTTCGTTTTTAAAATAATTTAATTTGATTAAATCTTGCGAATAAAAAACCGTAATGCACCGAAATCCGGACACTTTTAAGAGTTGATTATCATTATTATCCCCAAATATAATCCAAATGCCCCGTAAGAAGATCCTGTCATAGTGTCATCCATGGTCATCTAATAGCGAATTCGTTTATTATTCAGTTCCAACCTGGATCGGGTATGAAGATTGGGTCTGCTTGTTTTCTGACAAACTTCAGTTTTATCGTGTGTTTTTAAAACCCAGCTCAGGTTGAGGTTCGCACTGACAAAAAGTTCGGTTTCGCACTGGGTTGAAATTGGTTCCAACCCCGATAATAAACGAATTCGCTATAACATTATTATTATGTTGCCAATAAGTTGTCATATTTTACTACTAAACCAACTCAACGCTACTGACAACCAAGGTTGCAAAGACTCATTTCAGCTAAAACAATGTTTTTCTAAATTATGAAATAATTAGATGCCATGATCAAATTTTGAATTGGTAGGATACAAGAAGAGGTTGCAAAGAATGTGTTTGACATATTAAACCTGTTTATTTCACTTCATGAGAGTCACAATCAGCGATTTTTCACAAACTCACTCACTCACTCACTCACTCACTCAGCGATCAGCAAATCGATGATTGTGACTCATAGAAAGCAAAATTTACAGGTTTTATGTTTCCAACGCATTCTTTGTAACCTCTTCTTGTGAGTTACAAGTAAAACATGTCATCATACCATCTTTTGGTTTTATTATTCCGAAAAACATTATTTTAGCTGAAATGAGTCTTTGCAACCTTGCTGACAACCGCAGAATGCTATTAAAGCTTTGGTTTTCACATAATTTGACACCAAATGCTATGTTTTCTCTGAATCGGAAATATCAATCATATGGCCATAGTACTAATCAATCGAATCTCTAAATATAATGGATGCACATCCATGATCTAATTTTGAACCTCTGGTGAACCTAAGACAATCCTAGCTTATCCGTAGCTTAAACCAAAGTGGCATCATTCGAATAAGCGGAGTTGGATAGTAGATGATAAAAATACACAAAAAATACTATGCAATAACCGATGACACCAGCGATTCACTTTTAGACGCTGCTTGACAAACTAAATAGATGCGTCTAGTGAATGCACGCGTGATCATTCTTTCTTAGCGTAGTGCTATATTGGTAAACATTCGTGTAATGAACCGATCAATCGAAGTGATTGATCTCATTTCCATCCATTTCAATTCCGATAAAACTTCAGGATACAGTGAACTTCCATCTCGATATTGATCAAGATAGGTTGACATTCGGAACAGTAATTTATTAGCCTACTAGTACGGTTTTAGATGCACTTCGGGTTCAAATAGCGTATTTGTTTATCTCGTATCCAAAGCAAAATTCGATCGCTCAAACGTAGAAAAAAACTAGTGAACTACTTTGTTGCCGTATATTCGCAATTCGTAAAATCACCAAAATGGCGACCTTCGGCAAAAACAGTTCGAGTTTTCGTTGAAAAAATCGAGACTCAAATACGCGTATACAAATTGAAAAGTTGGATTTTTTGTAATTGTAATTGTAATTTATCAGCCCTCACCCTGGCCGACCACTGTCCGCCCATCTTAACATAGGCTGAGTGAGGACCTACTTAGCCTATACGTTAATGAATACTACACCGTTTGACATGCCGCTATCTTTCCGAAGCAACATTGCAAGTCTTACTAAGGTTCTATAGCATTCTACGACCAAACCTTAAGAATGTCACAGCTCAGAGCCATCCTCCGTGCCCCAGTGAAGACACTTAAGTTGGTTGATACAGCATACACAAATCAAATGCTGGAAATTGGCCACATGGGAAATGTTACCGTTTGTAACATTTGTTGATGTATTTCTGTATGTTTATCGTATTCTGCATGTCCATTTGAATTTAAATAATAATTGCCAATTTGACAACCCTAGTTTTAGTACATTATACAGTACCACAGTTTACTACCAACTGCTGGAATAGGTGATGAGCCAACAATTTGAGTTCAGTGGAACATAAGAGAATGGGTACGAGAATTACAGAGAAAGGAAACGGCGAGTAGCACGGAAACTTCTTCCGGCACTTGCCAAGTAACCTTAAACGAGAGCAGTTGAACAATCTAAAAAAAACCGTTAAAATTATAGAGAAGAAAAGTAAGAGTGTCGTAGTAGCAGGCGTGGAGTGAGAGAGTCAGGACCCGTTAAGTTTTCCCTAGGGGCATCCCACTCTAAACTTTAGATCCAATACTCATTAAGTATTGTTAAAACTCTCTTAAGTATTTTTAAGTATTTTCAAATATTTTTATCTTGACGTTATTTTAATCATAGTAAGTCTTGGCTATAACATCGGTTTCTAGTGCAATTGTTTTTCTTGTCGATGTCAAACATTACGCGTGCAAAATGTCTACCGAAGAGTTAGCTATTCATACTGATTGGATAAATAGGTATTTTGAGGATTTGAATATAATTTAATTGACTACTGCTACTACTCATTTTATATTAACTATTTTATTTGCAGACATCATTAAACGGAGCTTTGGTGAATTTCCTGTAAATAACCCCTATAAAACCGAAATTGTTACTTGGGATTTATGTATTACCTATCTACCCTTATTTTGATTGAAACAAATTTTCAATAAAAATACTTATGACAAATCTATTTCGATCCAAATAGGGAATAAGAGTGAATATCATAATGAAACTTGTTCAGAAAAGTGTGTTTGATCAAATACTATCTCAAATATAGCTACTTAAAAAAGAGAGACGGGTACTTCAGGTTGAGAATCGGTGCAGCTGGAGATCAGATTTTTTTTTTTAAATTTTCTCTTCTGTCAGAAAAAAGACACATTCTCATAAACGGAAACTCATAATTGACCTTTCCTCTGAAGTTGTTAATCTCTTCTTTTGCATGATTTATTCACTAAATACTTTAACGCTAGCAATGCACAAAATCCAACCTGACACATAAAATCCCTGACATTGAGTAAATAAACATCAGTAATTTGTCTAGCAACCAGGGAAGCAATCTAGTACAAGGTATTTCTTAAGTATTTTTAAGTATTTATAGGTATATAAGATATCAGCTAGAAATTTATAAGTACATCGTAAGAAATACAAAGTTTAGAGTGGGATGCCCCTAGAGTTTTCCTATTAAGAACGCTCGATCGAGGTGTTCGGCCAGATCACACCGACAGGCCTTCCGTGAGCGATTGACCTCTGGAGAGCCAAGTTCCGTTCGACGGCCCGGAGGATAGGACCACTTTGGACCTTTCCGTTCCGAACGAGTTCCAACCGGACACCTCTAAAGTGTAATTCAGTAGCTTTTTCCATTCAATCACACTATATCCGAGTCCTGATTAGCCCGGTAAATCACTCCAGCCTTGAGGCTAAGAATTGCCCTCCCGATCGAGCTAGGCATCAAAAGAGGTCGTTGAATGACCCACCCTCATTGGTAGGCCGTTGCTTAGCCAAGCCCGCCGAGGTGTTTGTCCTGGTAGCCTCCTAGGTACCCCACCCTAGCAGCAACAGAATATTGAACAATATATGGAACCAGGCAGCTATAAAAAGGTCATTCCTTCGCCAAAATGAATTTAACAACAAGATAAACATCAAAGCAATCCTGGCATTACTTGCATTTATAACTGCTTGCGAGTGACTTCACCAATGCACCGACGAGCGAGTTCATGAGTGATTGTTAAACGATTTTAATACTCCTCCCTAATTAATTATATGATTTGAGTAGTAGCTATACTGAAGATCCGAGAGATGTCGCCCCTTCAGTGGTAGGAAAATCATCTTTGCAGTATGGAGAATATCAGAAAATCCACGATTTGTGACTAACCATGCTTTCACAGAAGGAAACAAATAAACGAGTGTTTACCTTATCACCATAGTAATGTACTTGTGCAATTTTTGTGCATCTAAAACTGCCTATAAAGACGATAATGAATAAAAACTGAAAATTATCATGCATTTCCAAATGGTTTCCTACCATTCCCATACATTCGAAGTGACTGGCCCTCTGGATGTGGATGATGTCAAAAACAACAAAACATGATTAATTGAAGCAAATGATTTGTAAACATTGCAGATTGGAACCACTTTTGACAGTTCGATTGGAATCATAACAGTGTCTCCGCTGGTCTCTTATTCCAGTGTTTCTTATCTGAACCAGCCCACAATAAGAAACCACTAACCGTATTGTGCTTCCTCTAAGCGTAGAACCAATCCCTAAACCTAAACCTGTTTTAATCCAACTTGATGATTCTATTGCGCTCATCTTTTGGCATCATCCAGGGGAGACTTGGTCCTTTTCCCGATGCTTAACTTATCTCCATTTCACTCAGCTACTCGCAATTTCTTGTGATATAGTGGGCGGAATATTATTATATGCGATAATTCAATGCAGACGTCTTTCCAAATTTGCTGCAACGATGGTTGCTCATCAACAAGTCTCATCGTAAACGCCTGCTATGAGAATATCCCATTGCAGATGCTAACGAAATGACGCCATTGAGCTACCCTGGTTACCACCTGACACCTTATAGCACGATGCTAGGAGGCGGACCGGAAGACTCGATAAGCGACATTCTCCGTATAAAAAATCGAAAAGTTGGAATATCCGGAAAATCCTATGTTAGATTTTAGATAATTAATTTTTATACTGCGGACAGAAGAATCAGTCAAATTGATCAAATAGTCATCAAAATCGATATTATGTGGTTATATTCAAGCTTGCTTATCCTGGTCC